TGGGATTTCTAAAGTATTTAGGACATCACGAAAAGACGTTAGAAGATTAGATTCCTTGGAATTTAGGGCTCTAATTTTAAATATCCCGGGTTTGTTTTTTTAAAAAACCTGGTATTGGACATTAGTTCAAAATTTCACTTTGAAGATTGCTAGCATAACAATCGAAATTGTCCTGATTAAATGAACTGACCCTTTTGTTTTTCAAAATTATTAAGAAATGTGGTGATTAAATCAATTCTTATTTTTCTTCACACTGGTAAGATAAATACACAAGTTTTTCACTGTTTATCCTCATACATATTCTAATGTAGCAATTGAGCATTTAAAATCTGAAGGATTTTAATATCTTAGTAAATTATTTTTAGCAAATAAAAAGAGACAAAGAACGTGCAAATACAATTCATTAAAAAGGAAATAAATCTAGAAACAAACATTTTCAAAAGATTTTACTTAACTTAGTAATAAAACAGGTGAAAATTAGATTAATTTTTTATCTATCAAATCGGTAAGGATTTTTTAAAATGATGATACTCCCTCTGCTTGGTGGTAGTATAAATAAACACATTTATTTATAAATATGTTTATTAAACATATCTGGAAAATAACCAGATGATATATGTGGGAATCCACTGGGAACACAAGAGTTGGCATAAAGATTATTTAAGCTTTTAACTTTAACCATTTAATGAGCCAGCTACTTTTGTTGACTCACATGTGAACACATATAAACCTGTTTTTTCTCCTGCTCACCTCTTATTAGTTTAATTCACAGGCCTCAGGTACTAAGGTAAAGGAAAAATTCTCTTTTTTGCTCCTCTACATATATGTTAGGGGGCTTAAAAGAATTTCCATACTTTAATCCAAGAAAATTCTGATGACAAAACCGAAGGAAATAATCAGAAATCAGGAAAAGGTTCATGTATAGGATATTCACAACACTAGTAATAGTGAGGGGAAAATGAAGACAAAAATAAATTGGCCGACAATAGGGGAAGGTTTAAATACATGATGGTGTACCCATAAGATGGAATATGTACTGCATAGGCACGTGCATGCACGCACACACATTGCACGCACACGGGGTACACGATTGCCAGTATGATCTCAATATTAAAGAAAAATTTACATATGAGAAAAAGGATAGAAAGAAATGTTGCAAAATATAAACAGTGGTTATCTCTAGATGGTGAAATTATGGGTCTTAGAATTTTCTTCTTTCTGTATATTTTTTATATTTTCCATATTTTTTACAATAAATATGCAATACCTTTAGCTCGGAGGGAGAACAAATTTACTTATTTATCAAAATAATAAACAAATTCCATTATTTTGAAAGGAAAGAAAGAAGGAAGAAAAATATTTTGCCAGGTCTTTTCTTCAGTTGTAAAATGTCATTAAAGCGACAAATGTGGATGGATTTTTTTTTTTATGGTACAAACTTTTTTTTTTTGAGACAGAGCCTTGCTCTGTCACCCTGGCTAGAGTGCAGTGGTGTCATCACAGCTCACAGCAACCTCAAGGTCCTGGGTTCAAGCGATTCTCCTGCCTCAGCCTCCCCAGTAGCTAGGACCACAGGCTCATGCCACCATGTCCGGCTAATTTTTCTATTTTGTGAAACGGGGTCTCATTCTTGCTCAGGCTGGTCTCCAACTCCTAGCCTCAAGCAATCCCCCCACCTGTCCTCCCAGAGTGCTAAGATTATAGGAGTGAGCCACCACGCCTACAAACAGTATTTTAATTGTTTTATTGCATCCCATAGGTCAGTGATAAAAGAAAACATAACCAAGTTGAAAAACAAAGCTCCAACTTTATATGTTAAATAACCTGGTTTATAAAAGACTCTAATAAAGATATACATATATGAATTTTATATATATATATATACATGTATCATGGCAATATATAGGATAAAGGAAGTTAGGCAGTGAATTGCTTTTTGTAAGTAACTTTTAAACATACTTTTCAAAGATAAGAAAACCTAACAGGAAGTTAAGTAAAAAAATATTTTCCATAATTTTGGCAGGAGGGGGATGAGTGAATTCACACCTAACGAGTACAATGCACAGTATCTGAGTGATGGGCACACTTATAATTTTGACTCAAACTGTACAAAAGCCATTTATGTAACCAAAACGTTTGTACTCCTGTAATACTCTGAAATAAAATAAAATAAAAATATTTTCCATGATTTCAACATGTGAATGCCAATTATTTTCAGTTCTTCTATTTGTGCATTATACATCTTCTATTCATTTTTTATTTTTAATTTATAATCTTAAAAGAGATTACATTTTTCTTCTCTTTCTCCAGCCTCCTGTTACATGGAATACATTATATTTTCTAAATTTTTATTGTAGATATTTGCAAAACATACAGAAGAACTTAAAAAGAAAATAGTATAATGAATACCCATATTCCCATTACCTAAAGAATTGACACTTGTTAAGTTTTTCCTATATGCTTTTTTTTTGTTGGCCTAAAGTTTTCAAAATAACTTATAGATGTCATGATAACTTTACTCCTAAATACTTTAACATGCATTCTCCTACATAACCACAAAACCATCATCACACTTAAGAATAATAATTAATAAAAATTAATGAAAATGCCCCAATATTATCTACTACTCCGTTGATACTCATATTTCCCAAATTGTCCCCAAATATCTATTTTCTTATTCATACCTTTTTAACAGTTGCCTAATATTACCACCAATGGATATACCATGATGGAATTAACCAATTCTAGATTGTACCATTTAATGTGTTTGCCATGGTCAAGGAGCTTCTTTGCAAATTTGTTCTTTCAACAAATATTTTTGAGCTCCCACCATGTTCCAGCAAAGTGCTTGGTGCTGAGAGGTATAGGGTGAAAGCCATTGTCCCTGTCTTTGTGCAGCATGTGGTCTGTGGACGAGGAGCCTTTTTTTCTTCATTGAAACATTTCTAAATTAGCTAAAATGGGAAACCGAGTTAGGTACTGGGAGCTTGCTTCTTGATTTGCATATTATCATTTAAAAAATTGTTCTATGGGTTATGTTATATCAACAGACACAATGCTCTGACATGTACCCCAACTGAAAATGGTAACACTGCCTATGTTAGGGTTGCTTCATTCACTTTCCTTGTTGGCACTCCATTGGGGAGAAAAACTATACTGCCTTTTCTTTATTCCTTGACAACCAAAGAGGACTTTTCTTCCCACATCCCTCAAGTACTTTGCTTGGTTCTTTCGTCTGGGCTTCCCCACCTGCCAAGAGAAATGTAGGAAGTTCTGGAAGACAGCTGTTCTTAGTCTATGAGACTCTCTGGGCTGTTCTCAGCCCTCTGCCTGAGACAGTCTCCTAATCTCAGCCTAAAGAAAGGATTTTACAGTCTTGACCCTTGCCCTCCTCCCCCAGGAGTCCCCTGCAGTCTCAGTTGTTAGTGACCAATAGGAGAAGAGACGGGAGGGAAGGGGCCACCCAGCAGGAAAGACAGGTTTGAATTCAAGCCTCCTGGAGTTGGTTCCACCTTTCTCTGCTAACCCACCTTTTGCTCCTGCAAAACTGTTGCACTCTCAAGCACCCCACAGACCCCACGTGGCATGCTTAACCCCCCCCACCCACAGACCCCACGTGGCATACTCTTCCCAATCTTACCTGGGGGCTGTGTCTCTGCCTAGAAGGCACTACCCATCCTCTCCTCCAAGGTCGCTTACCACCCTCAAGGCCAAGCCTAGCTCTAATACTTTCAAGTGCTTTTTATCTCTTCTCACTTCTGCATTTAGTTCCCATTACCTTGTCCCCTCAGCCACCTCAGGCCACCAGCACTCACATCATATGAAAACTGCCCCAAGCACCAACTCCCAGGGAAGTCACCTCTCAAGTGGTTTGAGGAAAAGGAAAGAGGAGTTTATTAATTTGCTGGCAAATGAGGAGGATGGAGACTACTGTCTAAAAATGCCATTGTCTTAATAATAAGCAGAAATACAGAGCTTTTAAAGGGAGGCCATTCAGCTTCAGGCAATTGCCGTTCAACTGCAGTTGATGCTTCTAATGGTCCCATCTCCGCCTAAGACAATCCCCTAACCTCTGCCCACCCGGGAGGCCCACCTGGAGTTCCAGGGCAGCCTGGTCCAGGTGGGCAGCAGTTGCCCTGAGCCTGTCCTGTAGCACAAAGAACAAAAGACATTACCCTGCCCCTCTCAACCACTGGCCCGAGACAGGGATGCAAGTTTTAGTTCTCAGAAAGGAGTGGAGGATGTTTTAAAGAGACAGAAAATATTTTTGTCATTTTTTTCAGGCCATTCCCTCCATAACACACTTCCTGGGGTGCTTGCAGCCAGCTCTGGTGGGAGTCAGAGGATGGTCGTACATGATAAACTCAACAGGTGCCACCCACCAAAGCGTATCCCCTCTGCCTGCAGTCTTTTCTGGAAGTTCTGAAGGAATGCGACTTCCGGATCTCCTCGGCTGATATGAAAAGTCCCTGTTCTGCCATTCTAAGGTAGAAATAGGGTGGGGAAGAGGGAATAGCCCAGCCAACAGCAGCATCCTAGGGCAGAGGGCTGATTTAGGTGTGGAGGAAACATGCAGTTCAGTTTTGAGATTTTTGAATGTGAGGCCATCAGAGGGACAACTGTTTGGAGATTTGGGCTTGACTCTCAGGATAAAAGAGGTGCCAGAGATGTAGGGTTTGGGGTCAGCAGCATGGGTGGGGCAGACGTTTAGACCCACGTCAATGTCTAGGGGATGATAGAACGAGACTCAAGGGACAAAGTGGCGATCCAGGAGACACCCCAAAGAGAGGTAAATGGGGCATCTAGTGAGTGAGTCATTTCCATTATCATTTTATCCAAGGCCCTGACAGTGTGCACAGTGGGAACTCTGCCCCTACACCGGCTTGGGCACAGTACCCGGGCCACGTGGCTCCCAGCAGCCCTTGCTCGCCCCCTGCTGGTCATGTGATTTAATTATTAGCTCAGGTAAAGGAGTGCCCGGTGGAGGGGCTGGGCGGCGGATTACGACTGTTTCTACTAACTGCATTTTGCAGGCCCAGGACTCAACCCGGCCTGGTCTTCTAGCTTCTAGGCCTTCAAGGAACCCAAATTTCTCCCTGACCGGTGGTGCAGCGACTAAGGTATGATCTTTTAGCAGGGCCTTAGGGAGAGGAAAACCAGAATGGTGAAATGGGGCAGAGTCCCGGGCCTACATGGTTACAGGTAGGCCGCCGAGCCAGCTCCCAGGCCGCGGGCCCCAGCGTGTCTGGTTTTCTCACCCGAGACACTAAAAAAGGCACAAAGAGCCAGCAGGCCACCCTGCACCCCGCACCTTGCCTCTGCCTTGTGACTGTGCTTAATATAGGTCAAATGAAAACAGCTCCCAAAATAGACCTTCTCTGAGAAGCAGCTGCAGTTGTGAAATGCTCCACAGAAAGGGAAAAGGTGTGGGTGACAGGAGCCTAGTTCTCAGGTGTTACGTAACCCGGGCTTGACAATCAGGGCCAGATATCTGCAAAGAATACGCCAGTGTGCCCCTGCCCTTCCCCCTCTGTCCCCCCACCCAGACCCAGGAATCAGCCCAACCACACATCAGCAAACTGGGAAGGAAGGAGCTGGGTCCGTTCTGGGTGGCAAGGTCACCCCTCAAAGCCTCCCTCTGGGGAGCTGGTCATGCATACCTAAGTGATCACATGACTCCCACCAGAGCTGGCTGGGAGCCCCGGAAGTGGTCAGGTGACTCTCTGGAAGGGCTGATGCCTGGGGTGGGTTTCCTCTGACCCAAGTGGTGGGGCGTAGGGGTGGAGAGGGCTGCGGTGGGCTGAGGTGGCTGAGGGAGGTGCTGCAGGAGCTGCTATGGTGTGTTTGGGGCTAGAGGAGGCCTGGGGAGGAGGGTACCTCTGTGCTGTCCCTCCTCCTGCAGACACTGCCTCTTCCCACTTGTCCCCCATGAGGGTCCTGTGGCCTCCCCACTATGGCGTCTGCAGGGAGGGGGATTTCCATAAGGAAGGAGAGTGGCCTCCCTCCCTACTCATTTCTCCAGGCACTTAGCAGTCCCTTCATCAGGTCTGCCCAGGGAGCGCCAGGCCCTGAGCTGGGCACTGCAGATGCCGCTGGGAATGAGACCCACTGCCTGCCCTCCAGGGTCACGTGGTTCGGAAAGGGGGAGAGTGAAGTAAGCAGGGAGTTAGAGGTCAGGGTGACGAAGGCCCTGAGAGGCAGCACTGGTGGGGTGGAAGCCCCTGGCAGGGGCACTGTCTCGGGGGCAGGTGGAGAATCTAGACGCCTTTCCTGAAGAAGTGACTTCTGAGAACAGACAGGAAGGTCGAAGAGAGCCAGCCAGGTTATGGGAAGGGAGTGAGAGCTGTAGAGGTTCCAGACAGAGAAAACATTGCCTGTGCAAAGGCCCAGGGGCCAGGTGGAGGGCATGGCTCCTTGGGAAACCACAACTGTCACAGAATGGCTGTGTGACAGAAAGACAGGATGAGGGTGAGCTGGGAAGGTTAAACAGAAGCCACGTGGGGAGGGGCCTCGCAAGGAAGTGTGGACTTCATCCCAACCATCCCGACAGACTGCAGGACTGCCGGACCAGGGGGTTCTCAAAGCACGGTCAGCAGGGAGCAGAGTAGAAGAGCACATTGTCGGATCCGACCCCAGATCTGCTGACTCAGAGACACTGGGGGAGGCCGTCTAGCTAGCTGTGTCTTCACAAGCCCCTCCAAGTGACTCTGAGGCATGCTAACATATGAGATCCACTGCGCAAAAGGCTTTTATGCTGGGGAAGCGCATGAGCAGCTTAGAAAGCTCTCTTTGGTTTCGGGGCAGAGATGGTTTGGAGGTGGGCGATGCTGCAAGCTGAGCAGGAAGAGTGTGTAGCAGCACCCAGCACCCTGGGGAGGACCCATGGTGGTGTCAGTGGGGAAGGAGCAAGTACCAGATGCGAGAAACGTTTGCAGGGCCTAGAGATGACTTTGGTGGGCTCTGGGCACTTTTGACTTTGTGGGCTACTTCCTCCATTAAAAAAATATAAAAAATTATGTGTGATAACTGCATTGCTATAAAGATAAATATACTCCAGGCTGGACTATGTTAATTTTTTTCTTCTGATTTTAAAAGAAATGAAAACTTTTTTTGTGGGCCCTTCAATGTATCATGAACCCTTAGGGCTGTGCCTAGTGGATGAGTCGCCTCCAAACATCCAGGCTACTGGCTCAACAGGACGTGGCCCGTGACTGAATGGGGCAGGAAGGAGGGAGGGCGTCATGGCTGACGGCCAGCATATGGGCTCCGGGTCCTGGGTGGAGACTGAGAATACAGAGAAGGTGCAGATTCACAGAAGGAGACGAGACCATTTATTCTGTGGTGCCCAAGGAGCATCCAAGTGGAGATGTCCAGGAGGCAGCTGGATAACGGGGTTCGCAGCTCAGATACAGATGTGCAAGTCGTTGCCATAAGAGCGGGTAGCTGAAGCAAGGGAAGAGCTGAGGTCATCCTGGTCGGAAGTAAGAAGATGAGAATCCAATGGATGAAACCTGAGGGACAATGACATTTAAAGGATGGAATAGCCAGGGAGGTGGAAGGAAAACTCCAAAAGTGTAGGTGAGTATTTTGAGAGGGGGGAACAGTCAGCAGTGTCAAATTCTGCAGAGGAGCCCAGGACATGGGCAGTGGAATGTGTCCTTTGGCTTCAGTCACTGATGAACAAGGTGGTGTAGGCCTGGCCCCTTCAGAGCGGGTGGGGTGTAGAAGTCCATCTGTACGAGAAGAGGGGGCCGTGAGTGTGGGTTGCTCTTCCAAGAGGTTTGGCTGCGAAGGAAAGGAGAGGGATGGGTGGTGGTTGGTGGGGTCGTCGGGGTGAGAGGCGTGTCTTACATCGGTTCCGGGGAAACAGATGCTGAGATGGACGTTTGCAGGCAGGGAGCTTCTTGGGGCACGTTCCAGTGTCAAGGAGGCGTGCAGGGCCATGGGAGGAGCCGGGCTGTGATGTGGTGATAAGGAAGGTCTCAGCAGAGCCCCCGGGAGCTGTGGAGCTAGAATGGCCCTTCAAAGTTGTCCCAGGATCAGGGCAAGGGGAGCTGGGCCTTCACACCCATGTGTTCATCGTGATGTTTTGACACCTGGGGGCTTGTGGGTTCTGGAGAGACTGCCCGTCCCAGGACCAGCTAATTCCTAGACACAGCAAATGACCGCCCTGTGAGCGCACCTCTCACACCTCCCACGTCCAAAGCAGCCAATCCAAAGCCCATACCCTCCAGTTACCTGCTTTATTGGGCATGGGCATATGTCCACCTGCCCTAATCACCCCAAGGTCCGATACCAGGCAATGAAGGACAGGACCTACACCCCAGAGCCCTCTGAGTTTATTTAATCTACCCAATGCTAAGCTACCTACCTTGCTTTGCCTTGTATTTCCAGTGGAAACCACAATAAAGGCTCTCGTCCAGGTTCCTCCTCCCGACCAGCCCTGGTACTTCCCGGTGTGGCCCTGCATGGTGCGTCGCACCTCCTGTTTGTAGGAACCCGTGGGTATAAAACCTTCTTCCTCCATGGCAGTCATTTCTGTGTCTGTGTGTTTTACCATACCTAATAAAATAATGAAATAATAAAACTTATTTATTAAAATAAATCCCAGGTACCCTTAAAATACCCTAGCACCAACCAGTCCTTGGACGTGGCCTGCCCTGCACAGTGAGTGTCACCTTGGGCAAAGCAGCGCCCTTTGAGAATTCCCTAAGGGGGACTGAGCCGTGAGCTGCCCGCAGCCAATGCTCCTGGCAGCGGGGAGGATGAATGCCCCAGTGCAGAGCGGGCATCTGGGTGATGCCTCACTGCGTCCACTACAGAAAGGTCTTGAACAATGGAATAAATAGTATATTTAAGTGCTGGTAGGAAGAACCAAGTCAAAAGGGGAGGGATTAAAGATAAAGAAAAGGGAGAGAAAGAAATAATGGGCTGAGCGAAGGTGGGAGGGAGAGGGCTGAGCACAGGAGGACTCGGTCTTGCTATTATGTTGGCAGGGGAAGAATTCAGGGGGTTCTTGTCTCATAGCTGCTATTGTTTTTCTGTAAAATAGGAAGGACTAAGACAGAGATAGGGAAGTTTATTGAGAATGGGGAAGGCTTGTCATTATTACTGTGTACAACGGGAGAGTAAGAAGACACTAGAAAATTATAAATCAAACTGGACATCATTGAGGATCCAGTTAAACGTGGAGACTGTCACATTTTAGCAGCAACCATCTCTGGAGTTGTATGTTTTCTCCTGCAGAGCTCAACAGCCCTGGTACAGGGACAGACAGGGCTAGAAGTTGGATTTCTTCCGGGCTAGGGTTCCCTCGGGCACTTCTTAAAGGAAGACATCTGGGCAAAGGTGGAAGACAGTGCTAAGCTGCTAGTTGAAATGATGGAGTGAGGAGTCGAGGCGGGAAGGAAGGAAGTAAGGAGAGGAGAACACAGAGCACAGGACTGTTGGATTTGATGAGGTCGAGGCAGGGCTGTGGTGGGGAAAAGCGAATGAACGAGAAGGCTGGAGGGGTGGGGCTGAGAAGGGGTGTGAGATTTCACAGTGCGGCATTGGAGCGGTTCTGGGAGATGGTCCGGGTTAGGCTGTGCCCTGGGGAGCAGATGGCAAAGATGGAAGGTCCATAAGGCTCTTAGTAGGTGAGTTAGTCAAAGAACCAAGAAGCCATGGTGTTGGGGAGCTCAGACCAGTTGGATGCTGAGTCCATCTAGGATGTTAAGACCTGAATGAGAAGACAGTGAGTCAGGTTCAAGGGCATCAGGGAATGAAGAGGTGTGACCAAGAGGCCAACAGATGGCAGTAACAAGGAGACAGAGAGGGCAGCGTGTCCTGAGGCTGGAAGAGGAACCTTAGACGTCAGTTGCCATGATGGTGCCTCCAGGAAAGTGACCTTCCCAACTCCACAGCCGTGTGTTGTACTTTGCGTATTTAAGTCATGTGGTTGTCTACCTCGTATCACAGCTGTTACCAAATAGTATAAGTTCTGAAAGGTTAGAATTGTGTTTCTTCCTTAAAAGGAATTTTGGAGCAAAAGGAGCTTGAGAAACCGTAATATAATTTGACACACTTGAATAGAACCTGAAAATAAATATACATATGTGGGCTGGGGACATCAGCTCCC